AGTACTCACATGCATTTTTGATATATTTTTCATATATACATATATGTAATATTATATATAAATATATAAAAATTGATGTGGGTATTCAAATGAAAGGTCTTGATGAGTGTAACATCAGGATGAGCTTATATCTTTAAAAATGTCAATAGTTCACAAAATACAGGGTCATTTCTTAATCATGTATTTATTAATGACCACAATATTTTGCTTATTTTTTTAATAATATAGATTATTAACATCAATATTAATTTCAGAAAAAAAATGTTGGAAATCACATGCAATGACCGTCTCGGAAAAAAAGTACGAGTAAAATGCAACCCTGACGACACAATTGGAGACCTTAAAAAGTTGATCTCAGCGCAAACTGGCACCAATTGGGAGAAGATAGTTTTAAAAAAATGGTACACCATCTACAAGGACCATATAAAGCTCCAGGACTACGAGATTCATGACGGGATGAACCTGGAGCTTTATTATCAATAATAATAATGTTAAAAATATTTTCAAAACATAAATTTATTAACGGACATAAAATATATTAATCTTTAAGTTAAAATATAAGTATTTTGATTAAACATTTGGTTTTTGAGGAGATAAGAGTATTTAATATTTAATATCAGTGGGGACGTTTCAAAAGTCCCTCGGAGTGGCTCGCTACCGGGCTCTCTGGTTCTACGACGACTCTTCCACTGGAGGCTCGCTCTACCAGCAGATCGCGGATGTGCTGGACTATCAGATCTATCGCCACTGGAATAAATTTATTTTATTAATTTTGTTTTTTGTAAATTTTCAATAAAATTGAATATTGTCTTTGCAGCTGATCTACTTACAAAATATTTTTTTAAATAAAAATACTTAATGTAATTATATATTTGTCTAGGTGAAATTACACTGTACTTTCTTAACTATTGACATTTTTGAAGATATATGCTTTCATATGAATACCCACATGCAGTTTTGATATATTTCTCATATATACATATATATAAATATATAAAATATATGAAAAATTGATGTGGGTACTCAAATGAAAGGTCTTGATGAGTGTAACATCAGGATGAGCTTATATCTTTAAAAATGTCAATAGTTCTTAAGCTACAAGGTTATTTCTTAATTATGTATCCTGGATACAAAATTTTTCTTATTATTTTGATAATATAAGTAGATGATCTATCAATTAATGAGGAAGGGAAATTCAACAGGAATCTCTTGCTCATACGTTTTATTACTGTACATCAAACGTACATTCCACTAATTGATAAATTTATATAATAATATAAAGATTAAAAAATACAAGTGTTAATTATATAAAACTAATGATCGAGTGTACGATGAAATGACATGCCACCAGAGGATAATCGATAAAAAATAACCAACAAAAAAATAAAATAAACAATTAAATCGGAATGAATCATCTGCTGAGAGTGTCTGATGATGTAGAAATGCGCCTACGGTGAAGGTATGGATGCTGCCCGGGCACTGGTGGCATTTCAGCTCCATTCATTTTTTTCGAATGCAAAATATCCCAGATGTGGTGCACGATAAGGTCTATCGCCACTGCAACAATTTCATTATACAATTTTATTTGATTCTTCAAACGCTATTCAATCCACCGGACAGCACCCATACTTATGCTAATGATTAATAATTAATTAATTAATTTAATATATAATAATAATTAATTACCTGTATTATCGGCGCCACGAGGGATAATCACATCTGCGAATTTTTTAGTCGGCAGGCAGAACTCCTCAAAGGCTGGCTTGACAAAATTCATGTACTGGTTCAACACGTAATCCAGATCTCGGCCTCTTTCGTTAATGTCCCTTGGTACTAAAATTATTAATAACTTTTGTTAAATTGCACTGTACTTTCTTAACTATTGATATTTTTTAAGATATAAGCTCATCCTGATGTTCTACTTATCAAAAGCTTTCATTTGAGTACCCACATGCATTTTTGATATATTTTTCATATTTACATATATATAATATATATATATAAATATATAAAATACATGAAAAATTGATGTGGGTACTCAAATTAAAGGTCTTTATGAGTGTAACATCAAGATGAGCTTATCTCTTTAAAAATGTCAATAATTAAGAAATGACCTTGTATTTTCCAAAATATTGACATATTTGAAGATATAAGCTCATCCTTATGTTACTCTCATCAAGACCTTTCATTTGAGTACCCACATCACTTGTTCATATATTTTATATATTTATATATATTATATATATATGTGTATATATGAAAAATATATCAAAAATGCATGTGGGTACTCAAATGAAAGCTCTTGATGAGTATTACGTCAGGATGAGCTTATATCCTTAGAAATGTCAATAATTAAGAAATGACCTTGTATCTTGTGAACTATTGACATTTTTAAAGATATAAGCTCATCCTGATGATACACTCATCAATACCTTTCATTTGAGTACTCACATCACTTTTTCATATATTTTATATATATATATATATATATATATATACATGTATATATGAAAAATTGATGTGGGTACTCAAATGAAAGGTCTCAATGAGTATAATGTCAGGATGAGCTTATATCTTTAAAAAAGTCAATATTTAAGAAAATACAGTACAATTTAACAAAATTGATTATTTAATAAAGCAAAATTTTATTTATTCACATTTCACAAGTCACAGCAATCACAAAGTGACTGCAAAGTTTCTAGTTAAAAATTAACTATAAAAGCTCTATTTAATGTATACTTATATTTAATAATTAATAATATTTACCTCGTCTCGCCAACCTTGTATCAGAATCAGTATCAACAAAGAGTTTCATATGAAACAAATCCCTTATCTTGTGAAAATAAAACACTAGGATCCCTTCAAAGAGGACTACATCAGCTGGATAAATAGTCGTTGTTTGATCCCTTAGCCTACAATAAAAAACAAAAAAAACAATTAATATTTTTCAATAAAAATAATTTAATTTTCATAAAAATAAAGTCATTTTAAAAATATAAAAAAAAAAAAAAACAAACTTACAAACTATTGGTCCGATAATCATAAGTAGCAACTTCGCACTTGACCCCAGCAAGAATATCCTGCAGCGTCGACAAAATAAGATCATTATCAAAAGCGTCAGGATGATCAAAATTAAACTGTCCTTTTTCAGCCCTGAGTTTCTCCGCAGGTGTCAAGTCGCGGTAGAAGCAGTCCTGGGATATGCAAACGACCTGCCGCTCGGTGTGGTCCATGTCGACCTGGCCGAGCTTCTCCATGATCCTCTTGCAGACGGTGGACTTTCCACTGGCAGTTCCTCCTGAGACGCCGATCAGGAAGGGCGTCTTACCCTCGACGCCGTTGAACGGGTTGTTGAACCCGTAGGACATTTTCCTGGACATGCCACCCAGGTCGATTATCGGAACGTCCGCCATTGCTTTCAGGTCAGTGTTTTTACTAACCTTGTAAGTTATTTAAATACTTTCACTGTCTTTGATGAATGTCCGCTTGATAACCTCGATTTGCGTCTTTTGTCTTAGGTTAGTTACTTAAACTCCCTGGCAGCACTAGACTGGATGAAAAAATGCGCGTGCGCGTGCGCATGCGCTTTAGATTTCAAAATAAAAATCAATCTTTGAACACGTGTTTACTAAATTTATTTTTAACATTTCAATTCTTTTTTTTTTTTAATTAGTAGAATTTTTTAATTTTAATTAAAATTATTTTAAATTAAATAATTTTAATTAAAATTATTAAATAAAATTATTTTTAGTTATTAAAAATAGTGTAAAAAATTATTTTTGGTTGCCTTACATTTCTGTATGCGAGAAAAATAATATACTAGGCGCCACCTAGTGGCGCCTTTATGAACTAAAATTTTGAAAATATTAATTTACAATTAAAAAAATTTTAAGTAATTAAACTAATTAGTGAGTACTAGTTAAAAAATGAATTTTAGTTGCCTTACATGTCTACTTGCGAGATAAAAAAATCTACTAAACGCCACCTAGTGGCACCTTCAGGAACTAAAAATAAAAAAACTCTAATATAATTCAACTAAGTAATTTTTGTTTTAAATGACACGCGCGCTTTTGTATTAAGACAGTGCTGCCGCGGCAAAAATTTAAAACACTTAAAAATCCGGCGGCCATCATTGTTTCTATGGTAACAACAAGCTGTCGGCCATAATTGTTTTTTAATCGCTCCGCCTTCTTGTTTTAGTGTTTTAGTTTCAGCGAGCTAGTCAGCTGTTATTTTTTCTTTGAATTTTTTTTATTAAAAAATTAAAATTCATTCTAAAAATAACGAACAATTATTGTCTTACTTCATCAAGAGTATTTTTAATATTTAAATAAAATTGTTTTCTGTAAAAAAAATCGCGCCAAGTTCTGTTCACAAGACTGTTGAGAAAAAAAAAATTTTTTTGGCGCAATTTTTTACAGTGAAACTTTTTTTGTTCGGATTTATAATTTTCACGGAATTTTTTAATTAAATTTTTTTAATAGTAATTTGAGTAAAAAATTTTTAATGTCTGATAATTTGAGTGTTTTTTTTTTAATTTTTTAAGTGCAGGATGTTTAGCAATGCAACACGTGGTTAGGAATATTTATCTTAGTGTTGGTTTTTATTTTTTTAAAAAATAATGGAATTATCTCAAGAAATTGTTGCATCATGAACTGCCTTTTACTTCTTATCAAGTTTAATAAAATGGTCGTGAGAACGTCGCAGAATATTAGTACGGACAGCTATCAGGTTAGTTTTTTTACTTAAAAGATTTTTTTTTTTTTTTTTTTATTGAGAATGAAAATTGACTTTTTTTGCAAGAGTGCAATTGAGGCGCTTAATAATCTTCAGTCCAACGCTACCTACCTCAAGAATGCTTCCAGACACACTAATACTCTTAAAGACACGGAGAAATATCTTAAGAGGTAATATCTTTTATTTTAACAAAATTAATGAAATTTTTTAAAAGAATTTTAATTAAAATTAAAAAATTCTAGTCATTAAAAAAAAGTAGAATAATAAACTTAATTATAAATTATTAATAATGAAGAAATTACCTTGTATTTTGTGAAATATTGACATTTTTAAAGAAATAAGCTCATCCTGACGTTACACTCATCAAGACCTTTTATTTGAGTACCCACATCAATTTTTCATATATTTCATATATTTATATATATTATATATATGTATATATGAAAAATATATCAAAAATGCATGTGGGTACTCAAATGAAAGCACTTGATAAGTCTAACATGAAGATGAGCTTATATCTATAAAAATGTCAATATTTAAAAAAGTACAGTGCAATTTAATAAAATTCATTATTTAATAAAATTTTATTCATTTATAATTCACAGCTAACAATTATTAACGTTGACCAGTTTTAATAATCAAACAAAATTTCAGATCAGGAATTACAATAAAAGACCTCAAAAAGCTGTCAATAATCCACGTAGCTGGAACCAAAGGCAAAGGATCAACATGCGCATTTACAGAATCAATCCTCCGGTACCACGGACACAAAACTGGACTCTACACATCTCCACATTTAGTCTCAGTGCGCGAAAGAATCCGCATAAACGGCCAATCAATCTCCGAGGAATTATTCTCGGAAGAATTCTGGCGGCTACATACTCGGCTTAGTTCCCAAAAAGACCACGAGAGGGACATGCCGCCATACTTTAGGTTCCTGACGATCTTAATGTTCCACGTGTTCCTAAAAGCGTCGGTAGATGTCGCGATAATCGAGGTGGGAATCGGAGGCCTTTACGACTGCACGAACATCATCCCCTCGGCAGTTTGTGTCGGAATAACAAGGTTAGACCTCGACCACACGGCGCTGCTTGGAGATACCATCAGCGCCATCGCAGCGCAAAAAGCGGGAATTTTTAAAAAGTCCGTACCTGCATTTTCAGTCGCTCAGCCCGCGGAAGCAGCTGAGGTTCTCAGAACCAGAGCCAGCGCCATCTGTTGTCCGCTGACTTTCGTTCCAGGAACCTCGAGTGTCTTCAAGGTTTTGCCGGTTCTGGGAATCTCTTCTGATGTTCAGCAGGCGAACGCAGCGCTGGCGATCGAGTTGGCAAGAACCTGGATGGACAATCGGAGAGGAACAATTGGTTATTTTGAGGTTGGGACAGTGGAACAGGCTCTTAAATCCTGCAGGTGGCCCGGAAGGACTCAAATTTTGAAGACCAAGTCTGTAGATTTTTACCTAGATGGCGCTCATACGCCAGAAAGTATTAAGTGCTGCGCAGAGTGGTTCCTGAAGTTCCGGGAACCGATGGAACCATCTGTTCTTATTTTTAATTCTACCGGGAACCGAGATTCTTGGAACCATCTAGAGATTCTTCGGAACATTGGGTTCTCTTTGGCAATTTTCGTTCCAAATTTTGCAGGATTTGCTTCTAATGAACAAGAGAACCGCCTCCTGCCGGTAAATGAACAAACTAAGAGGTGCAAAATTCATTATGACCTCTGGGTTGCGCAGAACAACTCTAGCGCATGCGCAGAATCTGTTCCTGCGCGGAACAACTATAGCGCATGCGCAGAAACTGTTCCTGCGCAGAACAACGGTAGCGCAGAACCTGTTCCTGCGCGAAACAGCCGTGGCGCATGCGCAGAATCTGTTCGAGCGGCGCTGGAAGTTATTAGAACCGAGTTCCCGGAACAAAGGGCGCAAGTTCTTGTCACTGGCTCACTACACCTTGTTGGAGCTGCTTTAGCGATTCTAGACCCGGAACTTACAATGAAGAGCAACTGGTGATCTAGAAATAATAATAAAAAAAATTGTTATTCGGTTTTTTTTTATTGTTACAAAATAATTTTACTAATTATAGCGGCTAGTAGCACGAATCTCTTAAATTTAATTAATTAAATGTAATTTTTGACTTTTGTACTGGTTAATAAATTATTTACATCACTTGGTAAAAAATTAGGGAAGAATTATATAATTATTTTTATAAATTAAATAACTTTGGGTGGTACTCTAGCTCGGATTCTGCTTCCGTGTCGGACAGTGACAGGGATATTCCGGGGCGACGTCGCAGGCGGTTGTCTTCAGGGCTCTGGAATTTGAATTTTTATTATTAGAATTGTTCAGATTTAGAAGTTAATTTTTAGAAAAAATTAATCAAGATATTTAAACAATTTTAAGACAAAAATAATTAAGATTATGTTCAAGAAAAAAATTAAAATCACTTTAATTGATTTTGCTATTTATTTAATCAATTTAATCATTAATTTCTATTATGAGTGTTTTATTTCTAATCCTTAAGACCTCTAAATCACGCAAATGATCAATTTTCATTTCAGGGAAAATCTTTTTAGTAAAAAAAAAATTTTCTTTTTCAACCAAACTGACAACCCCATGCTAATTTTAAATTTCTTAATAATTCGGTTAAGATTGGTCACATTTTTAAAAGCGAATTTTTAAATATTTTTCTCATATAATTATACTAGCAATTATCATTACAGATTTTTAAAAGTCTATAGAATCACAAAATTATTTATTTACCTTTTTTAAAATAAATATTATTAAAAAAAAACAAAAATGTCACTAGTAGGGGCATGAAAATTCTCTAGCGCCAATTACCGGCAATGTTAAAATCAAAGGCACTCTAACTAGGGGTGTGCGAATAATTTGAACTTACGAATTATTCGTTTCGAATCGAATATTAATATTCGATTCAAAATTCGAATCGAATAATTTGAATTTTCAAATTATTCGAAATTCGACGAATAATTCGAAAAAATTCGAAAAATTACGAATAATTCGAAAAAATTCGAATTATTTGAATTCTTTCGAATTATTCGTCGAATTTCGAATAATTTGAAAATTCAAATTATTCGATTCGAATTTTGAATCGAATATTAATATTCGATTCGAAACGAATAATTCGTAAGTTCAAATTATTCGCACACCCCTAGTTAGAGTGCCTTTGATTTTAACATTGCCGGTAATTGGCGCTAGAGAATTTTCATGCCCCTACACGAAAGAACAAGATGACACTGGATATATCATCCCAGATTATACTGAGTGAAAAAAAATTTCAGATAGTAGCTAGTATAATCCAGATTACAATGAATATAATCCAGATATCACGCAGTATAATCTGGATTACAATGAGTATAATCCAGACATCCCACAGTATAATCTGGATTTTTCTAACTACTATCTGAAATTGTTTTTCACCACAGATATCACTGAGTATAATCTGGGATAATATCCAGTGTCATCTTGTTCTTTCCGTGTACTAGTGACATTTTTGTTTTTTTTTT